TATTAAATATAATTATAGTGAGTATTAAATGTAATTACAGTGGGTATTAAATGTAATTATAATAGGGTATTAAATGTAATTATTCATAATGAACCGAATATATCACTGTTTTGTCGAAACGGTTCGAAACAATGCCGTTTCGACCGAAACGGTCCGAAACAGTACCGTTTCGAACTAAACACTGGAATTTTGTGATTCAACTACTGTTTCGTTTCGGAGTGTTGAAATTCCGAAACGTTTCGGACGTTTCGGACGTGTCGACACGACATTTTGATCCTTGACAAACATAAACACATACACACACGCATACATACACAGACCAGTGCCTTGAACCCAGGTACATACACAGATCTGTGTCTTGAGCACTTCAGCACAGATCTGGGTCTTGAACCCAAATGCAGAAAAAAAAAAAAAAAAGAAAAGAAAAAAAAAGACACTAGAAAAGGAAGGAGAAGCCTAGATTTGCCAAAGTGGAGAGAGCACCCAGATCGTGTGTGTTTCCTTTGGATTTGCCAAAGTGGAGAGAGCACCCAGATCGTGTGTGTTTCCTCTGGATTTGTCGAAATGGAGAGAGAACCCAGATCGCTTGTTTCGTTGCTCCAGCTTTCGTTGCATTGAGAGAGAGAGAGAGAGGAGCTGGACGCTGGAGAGAGAGAGGGGAAAAAAAAAAAAGAAATGAAGACTTTTGCTGCTAAGGGGACTCGAAGGGCAGACCTCATTAAAGCCCCAAAATTGTTCTCCTTATTTTTAAATTTTTCAAAAAAAACTCTGAAAAAAAAACTAGCCTTATTTTTTGTTTCTTTGACTCAAATCTCATTGTTTTCCAAAATTTTGAGAACAAAAATACTAAACAAACAGGTTTTTGGTGTTTTTGAAATTTTGAAAACAAAAAACTGTTTCTGGATCACAAACCAAACATGGCCTAACATTCCAAGTAGATAGTAAAAAAATATGTGACCACCAAGTTGAGCCATCAATTAAGACCATAAAATATTGGAATGGTCCATATAAATAGGTCGACAAATATACCCTTGAATTTTTTGTAAAAAAAGTTACAGATTCAACATTGACTCTTGCGAGAGATGGTCTAACAACCAATTTTCCTTGTGAACAAGTAATACATAGGTAATCATTCCGCAAAAGAATCTTCTGGTTCTTTAGAGAATGTTCATGTGAGTTAGTTATAATTCGACACATCGTTATTAACCCATGGTAACCAAGTCAGTAATGTCAAAGAACAAAAGTCTTTGAATTATAGATCTTTTGGTTCATCACATTATTTGATTCAATTGTTCTTATGGTTGCATAGTAAAACCCAAAAGAAAAGGTAGGAAGATTCTCTAATATAAGCTTCAGACATAAACAATTGAAGTAATATAGAGATACTAGTCATAACCCGTGCCTGAAGGCACGATGAAACATAAAATTTGAGCGTCCAAAAAAGCGATCTCACTGCATTAAATAATAATTTTTATTTCCTTCATTTATTTGATTACATTATTTAAAATTTATTTCTATCCATTATTTTTTTTAAAATATCGACAAAAATAAGTAATTCGATAAATTTTTTTAACATGTGTATAAGATCGTATATGGATAATGTCTGAAATAAAAATTATGTTAAACTACAAATTAATCAAATATTAAATGATTAAACATATCATAGAAATAGATGATGTGATGATTTTGAGGGAAAAAATATGTATGAGATAAAATTTTAAACACCTAGCTGTTTTATTATATAAATTTTTCATTATTATCATTTATAGTCTCAATGTGAAATCCATTACGACATATATCTTTAAAACTTAGCAGATTTCTTCCAAATCTAACTGAATATAAAGCGTCATTGATATAGATTTTTGTTTCTTTTGGTAACATGATAATAGCTCTTTTGGAGCCTGCAATCAAGTTTGTAGAACCCAATATTGTATTTACATTAACTTTGGCTAATGTTAAGTTGGAGAAAAATCTTTTATGTCGAAGGGTTATGTAGGTTGTGCCACTGTCTACTAGACATGCATATTTACCATTCATTTCAAAATTGAACAATTGGTAAGTAATGTCCATTCCTTTTCATTCTAAAAAACAAAATCACAATAAGCTTAAATTGAAAGAAAACATAAGAAAATAAAGGAAATGCATGCTTAAGAACTAAGAAAGGATAATATGAGAAGAAAAATAACACTAATCGATGTGGACATTCCCATCTCTGATCAAATGATCAATTTTTCCATTAGGATCCACAAAGAAATTAGAAACATCAAAGTAAGTTATGTCAATTGGATGGGCAACATCAAGACAAGTAAGGTCCACTAGCTCACGATAATCAATGAAATTTGTCTCCATCTTCTTTCATTTTCCCTTTATTAATGTCTTGTAAAAGTTCACCAAATGTTTGGACGCACGACTAGTACGAAACCAATGTTCTTTCATACTATACTTATAGCAAACTTTTTCATAATGCTTGGGTGGTTTATTCAATAAACTCTTTCCTTTGTTTTGCTTTGCCTCTTTGTTTGTCTGTGTTGTTATGACCACGGTGTCAATTATCATTTCAACCACGCCCACGTTTATTATCATGACACTACAGTATGAGGTGGCATTCACTCCAGGAAATGGTGTAGGATCAGTCTGGCAAAATTAATGGTTTTTCATCAAAAACTCGTTATTTTATTCAACCACAAAATGATATGATATCATGCCAAAATATTTAATAAACCAACACTCTCTATATTGCTACTAAAGGAACATATTAGAGGTGTGAAATGATAGTCATACAAAGGTGGAGTAAACACACTATCGAAGGTGGAGTATATTTTCTCTAATACGTCTTTATCAATCATTTCTTCTCCATATAGTGTCAATCGTGAGCAAATTTTGAATAGTGTTAAGTTACAATCACTCGCCTTTTTAAAATCTTGCAACCTCAGGTGCTCCCATTCATGCTAAGCATTTGGGAGTATAATGGTCATTTGGGAGTTTAATGGTCTTTTGGTGGTCGTATCATTCCTTTAATTTATTTCAAAGGACAAGTGAATCATTTTCCGTGAGATATTCGCATTTCAATCCTTCAGGAAGGTGATAACGAAGGAATATCATTACCTTTGCGCGATCATACAAGGATGCGTCATTTCTTTCTTTGATAGTATCATCAAGATTCATAGCTGTCACGTGGATCTAAATTCATAGTTGTCAAGTGGATCTAAAAGCTTCAATGATCCAAGAAAGATGTTACCGAAATATCGAGAGCGACAATCTCAAGTTTAGTGAGATTCGACATGAAGTGAGTACTATAAAATTAAAATTTCACTATTAGAATAAACTAATAAGTTAAATAATCAACATCAAGATCAAGTACTCCTTACCCATGTAATGAAATGATTATGATATTTTATAATCATTACATAAAATGAAATGATAAAATGATATTTTTAACATGAAATGATAAAATGAAGTAATGATAACTTAACAAAAAACTACCTTCTTATGGATCTCCAAAAAAAAAAAAAAAATCCATGGAATAAAAGTAAGAGCATGCCCTGGGCATGACATATGATTGACAACTAGACATCATCTGGTGGTTTTGTCCGGTAAGTAAGCCATAACATGTTGTAGACATATTGAAATAGCACACATAGTATGACAACAAAATAGCCTAATCTAAGGATGTTCTGGTACACAATCTTAACTTATGTACATAATACAAGGATATTGGAACTCAAAATAGGAATGCAGAGAACTTAACCAAAAGAAATCTCATGCATAATTCTTCTTGAAATTCAGGCTGGCTAAAAGAATTATATAATAATCTATCACTCAGTCTTCTAGAGATAGGAGGCAATAATATGGAGACCAAATACACTTCGAGGGAGGCAAAATTTGTAATTAAACTTCTTTTATTTGTGCAGAGACAATTATAGAATAAAAAAATTAATTCTCTTAAAAGAAATTTATTTGAAATTCTTAAGCCCGACTAGAATAGAAATCTAGCACTTTACTCAAATTCACTTGAATAATGCTTGAGCTATTAGTGCAGATAACGTGTTGTAAAGCTAAGAGATATAGAGAATAGAATTTCAAAGAGACAGAGAATATAATATAAAAATGCTAGGAAAAGAGTTCCTCAACTTGTGTCTTTCTTAATGTGATGAAGGCTTCCTTTTGTAGGCCTCTAATCATAATGATCATCAAATACAAAATTAACTTTGGGTAATCAATGAATGGGAGTTATAGAGTCACATACGAATATCTATTTACTTGGTGTAGTAATTGGTAGGTTAGGGATCATCAACCTTTATATATACAATATATATAATATATACAATGATGTAGATAGAATATATATAATGCAATATTTAACATCTTTTAATTTTTAAATGTTTTTTATTAAAGTGATTTGTGATTATAATTGTGATTGAAGCGGGTTATGGTGATAAGTTTTTGGTAATGGTAATGGTAGTGGTGGAGGCAGAAGATGGGCAGTGCAGCTAACAATGAAGGTGGACATGTGAAAATGGTGGCAAGTTAGCCAGGGAAAGAAAGTAACAATAAGGGTGTGTTTGGGTAGCTGGACCAGATAGGGTTGTATATCTTTTTTTATATCCTAACCCATCCAATTCAAACCCACTCATCCACTTGCAATTCAAGGTTAGGGATACCATCCAATCCAAACCTTTGTGTGGGAAACAAATATGTATTTGTGTGGGCCCCATAAATTACACCAAATATTTTGTAATAATTTACCATTATACCCATTACTCTATTCAATACAATCTAATCCTATCCTATGTTTGGATTGGTGACTTATCTTAACTAAATTAAACATTTTTCACATATACAAAATAACATATATGCATTAAAATATTAATTTTTTTTAATAGCAAAGGGAATAATTGATATAAAGGTAGAACATATATATTAGATCTAAACAATTAAATTCTCCTTTACTTTTTTTTTTTATGAGAAATTCTTCTTTTCTTCTCTCAACTAAATTCCCCTCATTTTCCATCTGCCTCCTCACTGCCCAGCGTACCTCCATTCTCCACATCCACTTTCTTTTTCTTGTTTTTTCCATGCCTTCTCATCTTCCTCAGATTCCTCGGCTTAGAGCAACAAATCCCTTCATATTTTTGCCGAGCCTTTCGAGCTGAGCCTGGTTGTACTCCACCATTCTCCACAAATCTCCATTTTCTGCCCAAGTCTTTCGAGCTGATTCCCTCAACCCCCAAAACCCTTCATATTTTTCCTCTTTTACATCAATAAGTCTAGTTTCTCTCTCATCACCCAACAAATCCATCTCTTTGTTATTGTTCACCGAAAACCCTTTGGACTTCTCACTCGTACCAGCAACACCATTTTCAGCGATGGGTTAGGGCTTGGGGTTCAACAGATGAACAATATCAGATGGGTTGGGGCTTGGGGTTCAACAGATGAACAATATTCAAAAAAAAAAAAAAAAATCATCCTTAAGACGAAGAGAAGAATATTCAGAGATGCTTGAATCTGTGTCTTCTTCGTCGCCTCTGTACAACAATCCCTTGTTGACAAGCTCAGTGAAGCTTGGACGACAGTGAAGCAACGAGAAATGAGGGGTAAATATGTCTGATCCCTTGTTAACCTGTAGGCTGGGTTTGTAACCCATGGGAGGGGTGGGTTAATTTTAACCTTTGTAGATGGGTTACAAAGTACTGTAGCAACCGGGTCTAGGTTAGACCCGAGATTTGTATCGAGCCTCAAAAATGACTTCTCAAACAAGGGATTTCTGGGTCCCACTATTATTTTATCTCATCCTACTAGTGGATAACCACCTTTAACCCACTATCCAAACGCCCCCTAAAGGTTATGGTTGGAAGGTTATTTTAAGACTTTTATGTTTTTTGTCCACTCAGTCAATTTAGTCCAATGGAAACTTGAGGGGGGTAAATTGTTTAAATTGAAACCAAAGGGAACTAACTGTAACATGACCAAAAGTTGAAGGGGGTATCAATCACAATGAATTGATTGATTCTTTCCTTGTTTAACGTTTTCTATGTGGGTCTTGTGCAAAATTAAGTGAAAATAATGAAACTATAGCCCTTTGGTGTTTTGTGTGTCGTAGATTGTGTTCCTGTGTTTCATTTTCCCTCTTCAATCTACTTGTTTAAAATTTGACAGCATTATAATATGTGGAAGGAGAATTTTAGAGAAGACCATCCCATAGTGTCATTTAAACTGTCTAATTAAAGTTCCTGCTATGCCCTTAACAAGACTACCGTCAGTGTCACATGTGAACTTCTCCGTTTGTTTTAACTAGGGTATTGATCGGGAGGAACCAATAGCTATGATTTTTAAGGTATAAAGCTAAAATTTAAGACAAATTCCAGCTGACGGGACAAATTGAAACAAGGGCCACAGCTCAAGGAGCATTTATGATATTTGTGCTACTAAAAATTACGTATATAGTATAAAAAACCACAATTAGTTGTGCAAAAAGTTTACAAAAGTATTGAGATGAATAGTTCAGAGGCTCATTTTGCCATCCAGAGCTTTCACTCTGTTACCATCATTTATTGTATTCATCAGTACTAGTTTCCTTATGAAGAAATGCATTGAGAACTTGTCCTTGAAAGGGAAAACATTATAAGTTACAGTTCTCATTTTAAAAACTAAAAAACTAGCACACTGAAGTGTTTTAAGTTGTACTGGTTTAGAAAGAGTTTTAAATTATAGAACTGTAAATAACCGAATAAAACATCAAAAATATCAGAGATTATGTAGTTCATTCTTCCGTTAAGAATCAACCTAATGAATTGCTACATTTCATAAAATACATATCAGAATGGAGGATGGATATTAAACTTCTAATTTTCAATGAATAGGAGCAGCAATAATCATGTAATGCATCATCTAGTCTTTGATAATTCTATTTGGTTTCTTCACATTTGTTTTTGATAATATTTCCCAGTATACACAGATTTTGACATATGAAACACCAGATTTCAATGGAGGAATGAAATTGTTACGCTATTTACATCTACAAGGAATGCACAAGAAAAGAAATGGAAAATCCAACCCTCAAAGAAATGCATGCTTATGCATTAGGGTCCAATTGACACCAAAACCAAAATCTGATACACAGATCATTGACATGCAAACAAAACCTATTCCGAATAATTAAAGCACATCATACAATTTTCATACTGCCTTACCATACTAACCCTGTATGACAAGCTCATTAATATATTATGAGTGTTAGATTACTCTAGTATTTCAAGTATTAGAGTGAGTTTAGTCATTTTATTTGTTTTGTGTTGCCCTACCATACAAGGGCTTTTATTATGTATCTTAGTTGATGATGAATTGCAAAGTATGATTATTCTTTTCTTCTCAGTTCCCTGTCTTATTTCTTGTCTATTTTATTAAAGTTATCAAATGACTAAACTCACCCAAATACTAGAAATACTAGACTACTCTAACATGCTCTACATAAGACTCAAGCTTGGGAATTGGTGTCCTTGCCCCCTAGCAAACGCACCATTGGTTGTAAGTTGGTCTATAAAATCAAAACCAATTCTGATGGCTCGATGGTAAGGTGTAAGGCTCGACTTGTAGCAAAGGAATTTGCTCGGAAGTATGGTTTGGACTATAATGAGACTTTTGCTCCAGTTGCCAAGATGACAATTGTTCGCAATATGATTGTACTGGTTGTCATTCATCAATGGAGTTTGCCTCAGATGGATGTAAAAAATACATTTCTCCATGGTGATTTATCTAAAGAGGTGTTGATGACTCCTCCTGGATTGTCTACTAGTCCTGGTCAAGTATGTAGACTTCAAAAAGCTCTATATGGCCTTAAACTAGATCTCGGACCCTGGTTTGCCAAGTTCTCTTCGGTTATCTACGATTTGAGTTTTCACGCCGGTGATCATGATTCTATTCTCTTTTTGCGATCAACTGCTTTTGGCCTTATTGTTCTCTTATTTTATGTTGACGATATTATTACTACAGGTAATGACATCAATGGCATACAAGTCTAGAAACTTCAATTGCAGGACATTTTGAGATGAAAGATTTGAGTCAGCTTCGATATTTCTTAGGGATTGAGGTTGTTTCTTCTCCCAAAAGTTATCTTCTTTCTCAATCTAAGTATGCATTGGATGTTATTCAGCAATTTCATTTATCAAATAATCGAACAATTGGGGATACCCATGGAGCTCAATGTTCAAGTATTCTTTTGCGAAAGGCATTCTCTTGCCTGACCCTACTCTATATCGCACTATTGTTGGGAGTTTGATATATCTTACTGTTACCCGTTCGAATATCTCTTATGTTGTACACATTGTGAGTCAGTTTGTTGTCTCACCTATCACTATTCATTAGGCTGCTGTTCTACGCATTCTTCAATAATTTCAAGGTACTATGCATCAGAGTCTGTTATTTTCTTCCTCCTCTTCTACAGATCTAAAGGCTTACTCTGATACTGATTGGGTTGGCGATGCTATAGATCGCAAATCCACTATTTGTTTTTGTCTCTTTTTAGGTGATTCTCTTATATCATGAAAAAGCAAGAAGCAAACAGTAGTTACTCGTTCTTCTGCTCTTCTGCTGAAGTTGAGTATTGCGCTATGACATCAATTGCAGCTGAGATAGTATGGTTTCAATGGCTACTCGCTAATCTTGGCATATCCTTCTCCACTCCTACCCCTATGTATTGTGGCAACACTAGTGCTATTCAGATTGCTCACAACTCAGTCTTCCACAAGCGCACTAAACACATTGAGATTGATTGGCACTTTGTACGCCATCATCTTTAACTTGGCACACCTTCTCACCATTTTCTATCATCTCCTATGCAGTTAGCAGATTTCTTTACGAAGTCTCACACCATAGCACGTCTTCGTTCTCTCCTTAACAAACTCTTGATATTTTCAGCTATCACATCATGAGTTTGAGGGGAGTGTTAGAGAAGTCTAGTATTTCTAGTATTTGGGTGAGTTTAGTCATTTTATTTGTTTTATGTTGCCCTACTATATAAGGGTTTTTATTATGTATCTTAGTTGATGATGAATTGCACAATATGATTATTTTTTCTTCTCAGTTCTCTCTCTTATTTCTTGTCTATTTTATTAAAGTTATCACTAAGATTGGCTATATTCTTCACAAATCACAACATAAAGCACAAAATTCAGTTAATTATACCAAAAAACTGAAGACATGCAGTTGGGAGTAGTTGGATGCCCAACATTATTAGGGAAGGCAAGACATTTTCACAAGTGGAACTAAAATTGAAATCTAGATATCCAGAAGGTAAGAAGGAAATATATTCTATGATGGAAATCAACATAAACCAATGAGCTAGATGTTATAAAAGAAAATGAGAAAACCTGAATTTATTAATTCCACATACAAGATCATTAGGAGGATCATGATCGTGTTGGAGGGCCAAAGGAGCCAAGCTGGAGATATTAGTTTCAGCAATGATTGAGGCAGAAGCCCCAAGATTGTTAAGAATAAGGGGATCATCTTGTCGAGGCCACAGTGTTGTCGTAATTTCTGATGATGGGAAATAATGGAGATTTGAAGGCAAGCCTGCATCTAGCTGGAGCGAGAAATTGGTCCTTGGCAATAGATGCTGGGAAAGTTGCACCTGAACAAAATAACAGAAGAGTGAGTATAGATAAAGGGAAAGTAGCTGATTCAAAAAGTAAGCAATCTACTCAAGTAAAAATCTAGTCTCAATTGTGGAGCATGTTAAAATTTTATTTATTATTTCTTTTGTCTATTTGATGAGGGGTAGTCTAATCTGTTTCTTGATGCAGGGCTTTATGTATTAAACTCTTGTAACTATTTTCATGATTATGGAATATTAGAATTGCAGTCTTCTTTTCTCTCTCTTCTTCTATCTATATATTTTCTTCTTTGTCAGTTTGATCGAAACTTTCATGGTATCAAAGCCAAGGCAATGACACAGTCAGAAACAAACCCAGAAGAAGAGTGTCAGTGTGAACAGTGAGGCAGCAACACAGTCAGAAACAAACCCAAAAAAAATGTATCATGTGAACAGTACTGTTCATATGTTGTATAGTGCTCCACAAATTGTGGATCACACATGGTTGCTTTCATCTCTCTTTGCTGTAATTTTTATTTTTAGGTAGAACGGTTTTGGATTTTGGGGTAGTTTCATACAAGGATCAAAATTTCATTTCGAAACGTCCAAAATGTTTCCATTTTCAAGGAAATTGAAACAAATCAGTGATGAAATTGAAATTCTAATAATTCAAGATGTTTCATAATGTGTTTAATTATATTTCAATGCATTTGCACAATTGTTTCAGAATGTTTCAAGGTATTTCAAGATATTTTGGTATATTTTGACCAATGTTTTGAAAAATAATTCTTAAATTTTTTAATTTTATTTAATTCTGTTTCTGAAATGGATCAAAACGTTTCCGTTTCCTAAGTGACCAAAACAAATTTTGATTCTTGGTTTCATACACCAAAACCCTAATTTCCAATGCACCGTCTAGACTTTGGTATTTAAGAAATTGGAGCTTTTTTCTAGAATTGATAGCAACACCCTTAGTTGTCCTCATCCATTGTCGCAGGTTTAAAAAAAAAAAAAAAAATTTTATCCACACCCCCTCTAGTTAGGTCTAAATTCAATGACACCCCCGCCCGATTCTGTAACTTCACTGCATCCCATTCTAGTTTATACTTTCAAATCAAAGACACTCACTTAACGATAATTTAAAATCTGTCAGTACAAAAAATAACGGTTTGACTATAAATTTTCTAAAAATGTCAAAACTACCCTTCCATATGTAAATATATTAAAATGCCCTCAATCTTTTTCCCAATATATATATCACACCTTTTGTTGTTTGTGAATGTTCAAAACGATCTGGGATTGCTAGAAGACATAGGGGACTAAAGTCAATCATTATTCTTCAACTCATTCTCCACAGTTATCGATCACTACCTAAATTGGTTAAAAAAAAAAAAAATTCTTGCAGTTTTGTAAATGTTTTTCATGCATATTTTAAAAAAAAAACGCACGCATTTTTTTTTTTTCATGCAGATATTTTTAATTTTTTTCATGCAAATTTTTAAACTTATTTTCATCCAAAACACCCGTTAGACTTTTAAGTCATTAAATCTATTTTCTTATAAGTTGTTGGATAAGTGATTTACTTTTCAATTTCTTATTTTCTTTTATTATCTAAGTTCCCTTTGTGGTATGTTTTGTTGTTCGTTATAAATTACAAGGATTTAAATTTATTTTATAGTTAAAAATAATTTTTCTATAATAAAATTATAATTGATAAAGTTAATGTCAAAATTCCATCAATTTCTAATTTCTCTGCTATTGTCTGTCCTCCACAACGTTACCTGACCACTCTTCATGCATCACCATTCATATATAAAATTTAAATATTATTTGATAAAACTTAATATTAAATAAATAAATTTGGTCTTAATATGATAAATTTAAATATTAATTTAGTTTTAATTTGATAAAATTAAATATTAATTCAGTGTTGATTTTGATAAATTTAATATTAATTGAATAAATTTAAATATTGCTTTAATGAAATTGAATGTTCATTTCGTGTCAAATTAAATAACTGACATTAATTTGATAAGGTTAAATGCTAAATTAATAGAATTTAATATTCTATTTAATATATTAAATTTTAATTTAATCAAATTAAATGTCAATTTGGTATTAATTTGATGAAATGAAATAATAATTTAATGTAAATAATATTAATTTGATGAAATAAAATATTAAATTAATATAACTAAATGCTAATTTGATAAAATTAAATATCAATTTATTCTGACTTGATGAGATGGAATGTTAATTTAGTTTAAATTAAAAAACGGACATTAATTTGATAAAATTAAATATTAAATTGATGAATCTAAAAGTTAATATAATAGAACTAAAAGGGAGTGCACTGAAATTTCAGAATCAGGAGGCAGTAATATTAAAGATAGATCTATTTACTGGGGATGTCGTTTAAGTTATGTCTATTTACAAAGGTTGTGGATAAAATTTACTGTATAAAATATTCAGGGGTATTTTTATAAATTAACAATCATTGTTAACGCCGTAATCCGACAAACACTAATAGGGGGTGATAGTAAAATTTCAAAATCGAGAAGGAATGTTATTAAATTTAGACCTAATTACAGGAGGTGTGGATGAAATTTTCACAAAAAAATATTAGGGCTTAGTTTTGAAACAACAATAGTGGAACAAAATCGACTGTAGTGTTTTTCAAAAATTGAAACTATGGAAAGCGGAATTCAATTATGACGACATCTGCAAACGATCAATTTCAATTAATCCCTTCTTTGGCATCCATTGTCGAGTAGTTACAGAAGCTTATTTCTACACCTTAGTCTAAAGTTTTGTCTTCATCAACTCTTTTAGGTATATCTGACTCTATAGGGGTTCACCTTATATGACTAATGGTCCATCTTTGGTGCTTTCTATATCACTCCCCCTTCCTCTACTATTGTTCTAGCTACCAACGGAACTTCAATGTCATTTGGATATGCCATGACTTCACTTCTCTCTCCTTTTGATGTTTACTCCATCCCTTAACTATCTTTGAATTTGTTGCACCGTTTGTATTTCACAAAATCCTCATTATAAGAAGTCAATCAGGACATGCCGTAGAGTTGGAGAACTACACATTCCAACTGTGGTTGCTTCTTTTGCTTATTTGTCTTCCTTTAGCTTGAACCCTGACTTTTTAGTGTGTTATTTATCGTATTCTCATCATGAACATACTTCTAGTTCTCGTGTGAGATTTTTAGTTTCTATTGAAGCTCTGGGCAATTTAAGTAGGCATGATATTTTCTTGTTGTAATGGTTGTGAACTTACCAAATTTGCTAGTTCACCATTTAAAAATAGTTTTACTTCTTCTTCTACTCATTTTGACCTTGTGAATTCTGATGTGTGAGGTCATGCCCCCATTGCCATCAAAAGGGGTCTTGATACTATGTTTTTTTACGAATGCTTATACTTAATATTGTTAGATTTATTCATAAAACATCAATCTGAATCCTTTTCTATATTTGTTGATTTTCGTTCTATGTTTCACACACAATATTCTTCAGTTATTAAATATTTTTGGTGTGATTGGGGTTAAGAATACAGTTATACTTGTTTTCTTGATTTATTGAAATCTTATGGAGCTATTCAGCAATCTTCTCATGCAAACACTCCTGAGCAGAATGGTGTGGCTACAAAAACACAAACCCATTATGGAGATTGCTCACTCATTAGTTTTATCTGTGACCGTTCCCAACTCTTTTTGGGGGGAGGCACTTCTCACTACTATTCATCTCATTAATCGGATTCCTTGTATTATTTCTTCGAGTGTTTCTCTTTTTGTCCGACTACTTCTCATTGTGTGTGTTTAGTTGTAATTGTTTTGTTCTTATTCCTAAAGATAAACGAAATAAGTTATCCATTTGCTCCACCATGTGTGTCTTTCTTGGTTACAGTGAGGGACAAAAAAAGATATCACTGTTACGATCATGCTGCCAAAATATTGCATGAATCTAGACATGTGGTCTTTCTTGAGCATATTTCTTTTTTTTCAATCCCTCTACTTCTGACAAATTTAGCAAATTTTTTTTATTTATAATAATCCTTTTCCCTATGATATTTCTCATGATCCTTTTATTTGTGATGTGCCACTTCTGACATTCAATCTTCGACTCAGTTTTCCTCTTTTTTAATTTGTATCCTTTTATTTGGAACAAACTAAAAAATGAAGAACTTTCTACATTGCATCAAACTGAAACATGGGATCTAATCCTTTTACCTACTTGTAAGCATATTTTTGGTTGTCGGTGGGTATATAGGATTAAACTAAGGCTGATATCTTTGATGAAAGAACAAAGCTAGATTAGTTGCAAAGGGTTTTGCACAGGAATATGGCATTAATTAGGAGAAGCCAATTGCTCCTGCTGCAAAGATGACCATAATCGTACTGTGATTGACAACAAA